CCCCCCCCCCCCCCGCCCCGCACCCCCCCCCCCCCTCCCGCAACCCCTTGCTACCATGTTGCTTCTTTCTGGTCAGAGTATTTCATCTCAGGAACAGAAGTACAAACTAAAACACTTTGGCAGAGGGGTCTGATGAGGGATTCACCACCACTTAGCAGAACAGGAGAATCTCTGGAAACGTTGACTTTATGGAGATTGCCAAAAAGGAGGGACTTCTAGCCTTTTCTCTTATGCCTTTAATGAAAAGAATGGACCCCACTCTCCTGGAGGATAGCTATGAGCTGTCCTGGGAAAATTCTTAAGCCTAGAGTCATGTCTGTTCATTAAGTCCCTCTTCTCAGATCCTGCTCCCAAGTAGCACTCAAGTCTCTCCCCAGGTATATACGCCAGACTGTCAGGAGTGTTCATAGTGGGCAACCGTGAGGACAGGAAATGAGCCTGAAGATGTGGAGTGGCCAGTGTCAAGTCTAAAGGATGCTTGCCTCCCTGAATCAGAGCAATCGTGCGGACTAACGTGGACAGAGCTCAGCACACCAGAAATTGCTTTCTGTAACCTTAGATTCCTCCAGACACCCAAGTCAAGATGAAATGGGTTCTACGGCGGAGCTCAGCAATACAGTGCTTGCCTAACATGTAAGAGGTGCTGGGTTCAAAAGGGACCAGAAAGGAGGAAGGGAAAGGGGAGGTCCACTTAACAGTCCCCACTTCCTCTCCTATATATATTTCTTTTAATCATGTATTTAATTATATGGCACAGAATTTTCCCAGGAATTCTGATTGAAGTTGCTTCTTTCTCCCCCCCCCCCCCCCCAGTTATTCTTCGTTCTCCAGGCCCTACTGGCCACCCAGTCATTATCATTTGTTTTCTCTGAGTCCAGTTCTCATTTTTTTTCTTTTCCCTCGTCGATTGTTCCAAGATTAGCATGGGATTGTTCCATGATTAGCATGGGTCACTGTAGACCTTTGGGCTGCATTTGGGGCTATTGTTCAGAAAACGGCAGAAGAGCCAAAGGCCTCATTATGAAGAAGACGGTGGGTAAGGGGGGGGGGGGGGGGGGGGGGGGGGGGGGGGGGGACTCAGTCAAACTAAGCAACCAAATCAGGGACTGAAATGTCTGAAATGTCTTTGACTCACTTGGTACCTAGAGACCAGGCTGTGTGGCATGGGCAGTTCTAGAGCAGAAATCTTGCAAATACACAGAGGAGAAAACTGACCCAGAATTCCATAGGGAAATATTAAACGAGAGAATTTGCTGACACTGCTTATTATCCCGGTATGGCTGTTTTATTTCATTTTTGACAGGGTGTCCCTGTGTAACCTAGGCTGCCCATGAACTCAGGATCCTCCCACCTCAGTTTCCAAGTGCTAGGGTTACAGGCATGCCCCATTACATCTGGCTTCTAGAAGGAGAAATTTGGTGGTTGTTATTGTTTCTGTTCTATTGTTACTATGTTTATTTGTTTGTATGTTTGCATGCCATGGAATGTAGAAAAAGGCCAGAAAACAACTCCTAAGAGTCTGTTCTCTCCTCCCAGCAAGTGGGTCCAGGAACCAGACTTGGGTCATCCGGCTTGGTGGCAAGCACCTTTGCCTACTGACGTATCTCAGTGGCCCTAGAAGGAGGTTTACAAAAGCAAAAACAATTTTGCTGAGATAACAATCGTGACATATGTGTGGGGTAGGATGGCGGGGTGGGGAAAGATGTGCAAAACAAAACACTCTCCAAAAAAAAAAAAAAAAAAGGAAAAAAAACCCTCAGGGGTCTGTCTTCCTGCATCTGAGCTGCTAAGGGTTTCTTCCAATGGAACGATGGTTAGTATTATCAGTAGCATGTTAGTATAAGGTCTGAGACTAGGGTTCCGAGGGGTCACTGGAGAGGGACTGTCCTTTGGCATAAGAGAGAATCAGGAGAGTCACGAACGCCACAGACTGTAGCATGGTGGGAGCTCTGAGAAAAGATCAGGCTCCTTCTTACAGATTTCAGAGAGAACAGGAAGTCCCCACTCCGTGGAGCTAAAGAGTAGCACATAGTGTGAGTCTGCAGCTAGGTCGTCTCGGAAGTTCACACAAGGGACAAAGTTTACCAGCTGTGTCACGTGTGACCTCTAATTGCTTAGGGCCTCAGGCAGACTAGAATTGGTAAACTTTCTTTGGCAAAAAGATGGACTCTTAACAGAGCACCTGCCATTTACCGGTAGCAGTAGGAATCACAGAGTCAATTATAAGGATAGTGGCAGTTGTAGGTGAAGGCGACCTGGGTAGCCTTTAGTCTGTTCCTATAAAGTAGCCAGGATAACCTGGAGTCATATCCACAGACCTCTCTGACCCTGCAATGGTGTAGAAATACAACACATGGAAGCAGCTGCAGCATACGCTGTCCCCCAAACAGGCTCTTGTTCCACAGACAGAGACCAAACTCGGAGCTGGCAAGGCCTCTTAGGGACTGGATTGGGGACATCTATGATGCAGTCTTTTAGGGGAAATGAACGGGGCTCGGGAGCATTTCTGTCAGCTGGGTACCCACTTTTACAGCCATGCCAGCGCTCGAAGCTCTGCTCATATGATGCCCGTTCCAATCAGGTAAACAGACCCAAGCCAGAAACTGCACAGGGGACAGCACCGTCCCAGTTCCCATTGTACCTTTCTGTGATCACTAATTTCCAGTTGGGTTGTCAGAGAATTCCAGATGATAGACATGTTATGTTCATGAAAGGCAACCTTAAGAGAAATCTTTCTGCAATGAAAGTGAGGGGTTCCCCCTCCCCTCTTTTGGCATCCCGACTTGCCATAGAAATGAGTGATTTTTCTGAAATTCTGCCAAGTTAGATGGGTTCAGCATGCTATTAGATTAGTCTGTTTACACAGAAACAGCCAAAAATAAGAACCATGTAGAAACTATTAAAGCTATAGTCCTGCAGGGGGAAAGATCTGGACAGCTTTCTCACTGCAAGGGGGACAAGGTCCTGCAGGGGGAAAGATCTGGACAGCTTTCTCACCGCAAGGGGGACAAGGTACTGACTTGGCGCTAACGCAATGAAGAACTTGGTGTGCTCTAAAAGCAGACCCTTGGATTTGTCACCTCATTTTGGTGGTGACAAAGGAAGGAGCACACAGACAGTTCATCAGGGCTGGGTGAGCTGGGGAGCCCCAGAGTACTGCTCAGCTCATCGGGCCTTCCCAGTTGGAAATGCACACTTTTTGCTATGTGATACCCAGGGCACTTTCAAAGGAACAGCGATTCCAGGCAGGGAAATAAAACAGCGAATAAAATGAATAAAATGAAACAAATAAACGAGACAGGGTGTTGGTGGCTCCTGTGTAATTCCAAGTTCACATCCACCCGCCCTTGTCTTGCTCCTCAAGCTTATGGAACACAGCCTGTTGGGTCAGTGGGATTCCAGCAGAGGGCTTGGATGGTATTCTGTGCGTGAGATGTGGTGGGTATTATTTTTTCTCATCTAAAAAATGGGCAGTCCAGTCGGTACCATGACGTCACCTCTTTTCTCCTCAGCAGGTGAGCTGGGAAGGCTAGACTTTGCTCATTTGGGGTCCCCTGAGCTATTTTATGATAGCATTGTATGATACAGAACCGTGACTCTGCAGGGAGACATAAATTCAAAGAAGGCCCACCTGAAACCTAATATTGTGTATTATTTTCTTCATTGAGAGATGGGACCTTCTAATAAAACACACAAAGGAGCTCTCCATTTATCCAACATATTTCTACTACTTCAGTTACCTGGGGTCAGCCATGGTCTGGAATATAGTAAATGCAGAATTCCAAAAATAACCAGATCATAAGTTTTAAACTGGGTGCTGTCTCTCACGATTCCCTCCATCTTACCCAGGACATGAATCACTTCTTCGTTTGGTGTATCTGTCTTTGTTACTTTTCTATTGCTATGCTAAAACACCATGATTAAGGGAACACACACACACACATAGATTAGATAGATAGATAGATAGATAGATAGATAGATAGATAGATAGATAGCGAGATAGAGATAGAGATAGACAGACAGACAGACAGACAGATAGCATTTAGTTAGCTCACAGTTTCAGAGGATTAGGGTCCATGACCACCATGCTGGGGAGCATGGTAGCAGGCAGAGGGGCAAACAGGGTGCTGGAGCAGTAACCGAGAGCCTACATCTTGATGCATAAGCACAAAGCAGAGAGAGCTAATTGGGAATGGCATGGGCTTTTGAAACCTCAAAGTCTACTCCCAGTAATATATCTCTTCTTTCATTAAGGCCACATCTCCTAAACCTTCCCAAATAGTTCTACCAGCTGGGGACCAATTATATTAAATATGTGCCTGTAGAGGTCATTCTCATTCAACCTACCACAGTATCCATGTCGTATATGCTGCTTGCCTGCTGGTCACTTAGATCTGTCACCGTAGGTATCACAGTGCAGATCTTCCCATTACCTTTATTGTACTTAATAATTTACCTGAGTAAATGAGTGATACTGGCCATTTTGTTACAGTGTATTATTGCAATTATTCTATTTCATCATTTCTTTTTTCTTTTACTATCTATGGTACCTGAGTTACTAACTATACTTCATCAAAGGTGTGTATGTAAGGCAGAAACAGGATATATAGTGCTGTACCTTCTGCGACTTCAGGCATTCACTGGGCATCTTGGAGTGTATCCCCCACAGATAA